GTACTACCAAAAGTGCTCTACAGATTCAATGCAATTTCCATCAAAAATTCCCTGCATTTCTTAATCCATTCTTTTCCATTGTTAACCATCAATTCTTTTTTTGTGACTTTTATTCATGCATTTTGTCTTTAGAAAGGTAAAGTGTTTATTATAGGAAAAAATGGATAATATAGAAAAAAGAAAAAAAACATAAATATCTCCTATATTTCTACCAATGAAAATTTCTGTTAATATTTTATTATCTGTGGTTCCATTTACATGCATTTAACAATATTTTTACAAATTTTCTTAGACTAACATATACTTTATTGTGGAGGTTTCCAAGTGCACTTGAAAAGAATGTATATTATGCTACTTTTTTTTAACTAGAGTCATATATAATAGTTGGGCTCATTTTGACAAATTCATACATATGTGGAATTTGATTTACTCCCATTTCAGTCCCCTGTGCCTCCCCATTTCCCTTCTCTCTCCACAGTCCCCTTTCTCTGCTCATCTTCCTTTCACTCATTTATTTATTTTTGATTGGTGTTTTATACATGTACGTAAAAGTGGAATTCACTGTGTTATATTTATACATGCACACAATGTGATTTTGTTAAAATCATTTTGCATTTTCTCCCCTTTCCCATCCCTCCTCCCTCCCTATCTCCTCCTCCCTCTACTCTGCTGATCTTCCCTATATCTTAATGAGTCCCCTCGATCCCCATTTATTCCGCTTTATTTTGCTCTAGCTTCCACATATGAAAGAAGAAAACTTCAGCCTTTGTTTTTAACAGTCTGTTTTATTTATTATGCCATTTTGAGTGGAATGATTTCCAGAGGTCTGATATGTCTAGTGGCTTTATGGTGTTATTTGAGTCTCCTATTTCTCTATTGTTCTTCTGTGTAGTTGTTCTAATTGTGAAAGTGTGCTATTAAAGTCTCCAACTGTTTTATTCAATTGTCTATTTATCACTTTAATTCTGTAAGATTTAGTTTCGTTTATTTTGAGGCAGTGTTGTTAGGTGCACATTTGTAATTAGTATATGTTCCTAATTGATGACCCTCCTTTCATTATAAGATGTCTCACTCTATCTTAGTAAATTTTTTTTTTTTTTTTTACGGAAATAACTGTAGCTGTTCCAGCTTTCTTATAGTTGCCCTTTGCATGACATATTTTTGCATCTTTGAATCTAAAATATGTCTCATGTAGACAGCATACATTTAGATCTTGCCTTTTTTTTTTTTTCATTTGTCAATCTCTGCCTTTTGTTTGGATTGTTTGAGCCATTTTCATTTAAGGTTATCATTGACATAGTTGGATTTATTTCTAACATTTTACATTGTATTTTCTAATGTCTCTTTTGTTCCTCCATTCCTTCCATATTTTTTTTCTTTTACACTAAGTGAAAATTTTATAGTGTAATAATTTGGTTCTTTTTCTAATTTTTTTCACTATTTTTAGGACTTTTTTGTGTGTGGTTGCTTTAGGATGTAACATATATAAATCAGTTAGTGAGAAACTACTTAGGTTTTAAATTAAATTAGTCCAGCAAGCTAAGGAAATGTTATTTCTAAATAGCTCTTTTTCTTCTTTCCACTTTCTGTGG